CACATGGCAGCACCAGTTCCTGTCTCAACTGCTCCCCTTCTTTCTCCCTTCCTTCCTTCCTTCCTTCCTTCCTTCCTTCCTTCCTTCCTTCCTTCCTTCTTTCCTCTCTCTCTTTCTTTGTTTCAAGATTTATTTATTTTATTTGAAAGTCAGAGTTACAGAGAGAAAGAGAAAGACACACAGAGAAGAGAGAGAGAGAGAGAATCTTCCATTTGCTGGTTCACTCCTCCAGATGGCTGTAATAACCAGTGCTGGGCCAAGGCAAAGCCAGGAGCCAAGAGCTTCTTCCAGGTCTCCCATGTGGGTAGCAGGGCCCCAAGCACTTGGGCCATCTTCTGCTGCTTTTCCCAGGCCATTAGCAAGGAGCTGAATTGAAAGTGGAGCAGCCTGCCTGTGATGCTGGCATCCCAGAAAAAAAAAAAAAAAGGCGGAGTAGCCGGGACAAGAACTGGTACCATATGGGAGGCCAGCTTTGCAAGGCAGCAGCTTAACCCACTACACCACAGAGCCAGCCTCCGGGCTGCTCCATTTCTCTCCAGCTCCTTGCTGATGAACCTGGGAAGGCAGTGGAGGATGATCCAAGTGCCTGGGCCCCTACCTCCTATGTGGGAGATCAAACGGAGTTCCTGGATCCTGGCTTCAGTCTGGCCTAGCCCTGGCTATTGGGGCCGTTTGGGAAATGAACCAGCAGGTGGTTCATTGTCTTTGCCTCTGTTTCTCTCCATCTCTCTAGCTCTCCCCCTCTTGTCATTCTGCTTTCAAATAAACAACAAATAAAAGAATTTGATGAACACTTAATAGCTGCCCACATTGATGGATGCCATCAATATTTAGTGTTCTTATTGCCTCCTTGGCATCCTTGCTCAATAGCCCAGCTCAGCACCTTAGCTCAGTGCCAGAGCGAGGTGGGCTCTCAGTCGATGCTCACTGGGTGAGTGATCATTCATACAGTGATGCCTAGGCAAAGGGACAAACACTTGTGTCATTTTAGAAAGGCCAGGCTCGTGCTCCGTTTCCTTGCCAGCAATGCGATGCTCCCAACCTTGAATCTGACGGCGTGGAGTCAGGGCTAGGGCGCTGAGCCCTTTCTCGTGTCGGTTTAATAATAAATTTATGGTTTATAGGGTTTTGATTACGCTGTAGAAGTACAAAGGAGAAGGAAAAACGAGTTTGCCAAATAAAATCGATAACATTAAAAATAGCCCCGTGTCGACTTTCTCTGGGTGTCAACTAGACATGTGATTTTTAAAGGCCCTTGGTTGCGAAGATTGAAGAGGTATGTCTAACTATATCGGAGGAGTACTATGGAAATAGAGGGTGGAAAATGGCGTGAAATACCAGCATTTCTGCCTCCTGGGCTGCCATGGAACATGCTTTTATTCCGAAAATGGCTGTCATTGGCGGAGTGATCTGAAGCCAGGAGCCAGGCGCCTCCCCAGGGTCTCCCTCATGGGCTCAGGGGTCCAGGCACTTGGGCCGTCTTCCGCTGCTTTCCCAGGCCATAGCAGAGAGCAGCGGGGACTTGAACCGGCACCCATATGGGATGCAGGCGCCACAGGTGGAGGCTCAACCCACAGTGCTGGCCCCTCCCTTGTGGGATTTCTATTTGCTCTGTGAGACTGAAGTAACCATCTCCCCTCCTCAAGGTTTTTAGACCTTCTTCCAGCAGACCCCATTGTCATTCTCGTGTCAGCACAAGACCTTATAGACACATTCTTTACAGTGTTTATGGTCTGTTTAAGACATTTTTTACAATTTTAAAAAAGATTTATTTATCTGTTCATTTGAAAGGCAGAGTTACAGAGAGAAAGGGAGAATCAGAGAGAGAGAGAGAGTCAGAGAGAGAGGAAGAGATTTTCCATCCACTGATTCACTTCCCAAATGGCTACAACAGTCAGGGATGGGCCAGGATGAAGCAAGGAGCCAGGAGCTTCATCCGAGTCCCCCACGTGGGTGCAGGGGCCCAAGCACTCTGGCCATCCTCTGCTGCTTTCCCAGGTGCATTAGCAGGGAGCTGGATTGGAAGTGGAGCAGCCAGGACTCGAGACAGCGCCCATACGGGATGCCGTCGCCACGGGCAGCGGCTTACCTGCTGCACCACAGCGCCGGCGCCACGTGTTTATTGTCTTACATAATTATTTCCTACGAAACTAACAGCACTCCTTCTCCGTGAAGAAGCGCTCACTAGATCCTGCTGCATGCACGGAAGATGGAGTGAATCCCAGCTTCCTCCTCCCCGCAGCGTCTGGTCTGGAATAGACCAACTCTCTGAGCCAGCCAGCCGGAGTTCAAGGAATCCAGGACTCAGCGGAGCGGGCAGGACACAGACGACCCCAGGACGGCACCGCCAGGTGCACAGGCGCCTGCTGTCGGCTCCCTCCTGTCTGAGGCTGGCCAGCCGTCTCTCTCTGGCAGTCAGATGTCCCTCAGCCGTGTGTCCGCTTGGTCCCTTCAATCCTCCACGCCTCGGTTCCCGCATCTGCGAGGTGGGCGTGATAAGAGGCCCCCGCCTCAGCAAGCGGCTGTGAGCGTTAGGAGAGACCATTCTCATGACACACTGGGTGTGCGCCTGGCATTTAGTGAGTGCTAAATAAGTCTCAGGCATCATTATCAGCTGCTCTGGGTCAGAGATGTGTGGGAAACACCAGTGATAAGTTTTTCTAAGCATCCGTTTTATCTTGTGTTTCCCTTCCTTTTATTTTCATCCTTTATCTTTCTTGTACCCTTTTAGCTTTAAAAATAAAAAAAAATTTTTTTAATAAAAAAAAAACAAGTATAATGGAGACATCATGGGGAGCTCAAATGCCTCCTGTTCCAGGCAGCCTTCCCTGCTTGCCATCCACCCCACAAAGTTTGCCTTTCCCATTTGCTGCCACAGTATGCTATGGCACAGCTCTGAATACTGATGTCCGCCGCAGGCCCCGTCTGTGAGTGGCCATGGCTTTGACAAGGCTCAGCAGAGCGTGTGGCTCTGTTCCTCCTATGTTGACTCCTGCTGTGGTTTCTGTCCCTCAGGTCTGACCCTCTTGGGGTTGACATAACTCCTCCTCTCTGAAATCACAAGAAAAGCCAGGGATCAGGGCTAGCACTGTGGCGCAGTAGCTGAAGCTGCTACCTGTGGTGCCAGCATCCCATATGGGTGTGGATTCGAGTCCTGGCTGCCCCGCTTCCAATCCAGCTCCCTGCTAACACACCTGAGAAAGCAGAGGAAGATGGCCCAAGTGCTTGGGCCCCTGCAACCCTGTGGGAGACCCAGATGAAGCTCCTGGCTCCTGGCTTCCGCCTGGCCCAGCCTTGGTTGATATGGCCATCTCCAGAGTACAGAAATAAATGGAAGAGTGCTCTCTCACTTTTTCTCTCTCTCTCTGTAATTCTGCCTTCAAATAAATGAATAAATCTTAAAAAAAAAATATCCAGGGACCTTTATGTGAGAACTGAGTCAGAACAGTGTGCTTGCAGTGGAGGGGTGGGGGGTGGGAAGAAGATACAGTGGGTTGGGTTTATTTTATTGTTGTTAGCTTCCTAAGACCAAGAGTGGATTCTTGGAACCAGCACCATGGCACAAGGGTTAAGCCATGGCCTGCGGTGCTGGCGTCCCATATGAGTGCCGGTTCAAGTCCCAGCTGCTCCACTTCTGATCCAGCTCCCTGCTAATGCTCTTGGGAAAGCAGCAGGAAGATGGAACAGCCTGGTTCCATTCCTAGCTCCATCCTCAATTCCAGCTTCCAGCAGCTCAAGAAGTTGAGTCCCACAGGGCCAGCACTGTGACATAGTGGATAAAGCCGCTGCCTGCAGTACTGGCATCCCGATGTGTGCCGGTTTGAGTCCCAGCTGCTCCACTTCCAATCCAGCTCTCTGCTATGGCCTGGGAAAGCAGGAGAAGATGGCCTAAGTCCTTGGGCCCCTGCACTCGCGTGGGAGACCCGGAAGAAGCTCCTGGCTCCTGGCTTCAGACCAGCTCAGCTCCAGCCATTGCAGCCATCTGGGGAGTGGACCAGCAGATGGAAGACCTGTTTCTCTGCCTCTCCTTCTCTCTGTGTGTAACTCTGACTTTCAAATAAATAAATAAATAAATCTTTAAAAAAAGAAGAAGAATAGGCCGGCGCCGCGGCTCAGTAGGCTAATCCTCCGCCTAGCGGCGCCGGCACACCGGGTTCTAGTCCCGGTCGGGGCGCCGGATTCTGTCCCGGTTGCCCCTCTTCCAGGCCAGCCCTCTGCTGTGGCCGGGGAGTGCAGTGGAGGATGGCCCAGGTGCTTGGGCCCTGCACCCCATGGGAGACCAGGAAAAGCACCTGGCTCCTGGCTCCTGCCATCAGATCAGCGCGGTGCGCCGGCCGCAGCGCGCCGGCCGCGGCGGCCATTGGAGGGTGAACCAACGGCAAGGGAAGACCTTTCTCTCTGTCTCTCTCTCTCACTGTCCACTCTGCCTGTCAAAAAAAAAAAAAAAAAAAAGAAGAAGAAGAAAAAGTTGGGCCTCTGCCATTCATGTGGATGACCAAGATTGAATTCCTGGTTCCAGCTGCAGCCTGGCCCAGTCTCAGCCATTGTGAGCATTTGGGGAGTGAACCAGCAGATGGACCCTCTCTCCTCTCCCTCCCTTCCCCCTCCTCTCCCCCTCCCCTCTTCTTCCTCCTCCTCCTCCTTCTTCTCTCTCTCTCTTTCTCTGTCTCAAATTTTTAAAAAGCTCATGGAAAACGAGTGTTCTGAAATAGTATGCATGGACTTCAGAATTGTCTGCACCACGATACACTTATCTCTTAATTCCACTTCCCAGGAACTTTTACAGGGACCCTCCTCCCTCTACGACCAGGAGCTCCCAGGCCTGCTTTCCAGCACTCACAGAAGCAAATCAGACGACAGATCCTTCACGGCGTTCCCACACACCTCCCTGAGGAACAGGATAAGCTTCCTAACACAATTATGTTCAGAAACGGTCTTTCTGGATAGGAAAGAATTTAAATGACTGAGTTGACAGATAAGATCCTTGGGTTGAAATGTACCTGTTTGAGCCACACGTTCGTTGTCATCAGTTGATTCTTTTCATCCTAAGAAAATGACAGTTAAAAGGACATTGTGGTCAAAGTTAGAGGAAGTTTTGTATCTGGGGTTTGTCTGAGTCTTACCTTTTGACGGGCAAAGGATTCTCAGTTTGCTCGAAATAAAAATGCAAACAAGTAGCCGTTCATGGTGGCAAGGGTTATATGAAGTAAATTTATATAATATTGCATAACCCAGAAGACCCTTCAAGGGTGCAAATACTTGTCTCAAGAGATACCTGTGTTAACTAAATTGATGACTGGCTATGCAGGATTTTCTGGAAGAAATTCGAGGGCATTAGGCCATCGAGGGGTGTGTGTGTGTGTGCACTCGCATTTGTGTGGACAAGGGACTGGGCGTTGTGGGAGGGTTACACTGGAGTTTTAGGGGTTTGCAGCAGGATAATTTTGCTGTAAACTAATTAGTTCACTAATTTCCGCCCCAAAAAACCATCATGGTAGAAATACCAGCCCAGCAGGAAAATTAGCAGAACGCATTCAAGGCGTGAGTGAGTTCAGAAGGGGCAGTGGGATCGCCCAGCGAGAACAGGAATGGCCCTTGCTCCAGGCACTGTCAGCAGCAGCCTGCCTCACCCTGGCACGGCCAGAGGAGCTCTGACCACAGAATCCGCCCTGGGCTCCACACGCCCTGCACCCAACCCTGCAGGGGACAAGGGTCCCAGCAGCCTCGTCCACCCTCTCCAGAAGGTCCTCTGCTCACAGCTCCTTGCTGCAATGGAGCCTCTTGTTTTTCCCTCCATCCTCTCCCTGGCTTCTCGGGCAGATTTTTCTCTCACAGTAAATTATTTTTCAAATGGAAATGCCAGACACAGGGGAAAGAAAAAATCACCCTGGGCTCACCAGCGGGATAAGGAAGCATGTTCTCTTTAGCAGGGTGCCAGGATCACTCACCACGTCCACCAGCTGGGATATTTTCAAGCCGAAATGTACTTTTATGGTGTCGTTGGAATGCAGTACCGGCCGAACCCATTTCTGGTATCCTTGGAATAAATGCCTGAGTAGGGCGTCTTCGTTTTCAGCCATTGAACTGAATCCTGCAGTGGCTGCAAGGATCGCCAGGGAGCTGAATTAATGGCTGGCCAAAATCTTCACGTATCACTAGCAGCCTAATTCAGCAAAGGCGGCTTTGAGCGGATGAGGGTTCTCTTGCGCCTCGCCAGCCCCGCGTATGCTCAGCTCAAAATAGAATCTGTATCTCACCCACAGCCTTACTCTCTCACTGCAGGCTTCCCGTCGCGGAGTCGACGCCTGGATCCCAAAGGATCCTCACGTTCTCTAGCCACTCCCTTCCCCTCTACCTCGGGTCTCATCTGCAGTGCCCACAGGCTCTGCCCACCTCTGTTTCTTGAATTCCTTCTTCTGTTCTGTCATGGTTTGTTGTGTTGGAAAGACAGAGCGTCCATCTGCTGCTTCACTCCCCAAATACCTGCAATAGCTGTGGTCAACCCTGGCCAAAACCAGGACCTGGGAACCCAATCTGGGTCTCCTACATGGGTGGCAAGAACCCAGCTAATGGAGCCGTCACCACCACCTTCCAGAAAGCTGGAGCTAGGCGTGAAGGCAGGGATCAAATCCAGGTACTCCAATTTTTGAGGCAGGTGCTTTAACCACTAGGCCAATTGCCCACCCCAGGTGCTCATTTCAAATGCAAGGAGTCTTCAAAAAGTTCGTGGGAAATGTGTATTATGAAAAAGCTAGGCATGGATTTCAAAATTTTTCTGCAGCAAAATGTTTATATTTTAATTTCATTTTTCCACAGCTATTTAAAATACCCATGTGCGTTGAATGAGTGAACCAGTGAAGGGAAAGTGGGGCCATTTTTCGTACATTCAGTCCATTTTCCCTGTGCACCTGTTTCAAGCCCTTGCTATTCTCCTGCCCGCCTCCTGGGGAAATGGTCCCTTACCATGCCCTTCCTTGCTCAGCAACCAGGTTCTAACCCTTCTCAGCCCCCAAAAGCTCAAGAGCCCAAGGAACACCCTCACTGCCGGCTTTCAGCCTCAAGTTCAGGGCAAGGCTTGGGAACGCAGCCTATAGATGATATTTTTTTTCTTTCCAGTGCTGTGCTACCTAATTTAAAACAGGGAAACTCATTCTATTTTAGTGTAGCCCTCTTGTAGCCTCAAGCAACTCACTCTACACCATATGTTTTACCAGATAAAATGTGTTTTTTTTTTTTCTCACTGAGAGACGTATGAGGGGGCTTCAAAACATTTGTGTGTGGGGGGGGGTCCACATCCCATTTTGGAGGACCTGGGTTCTATCCCTGGCTTTGCTTCTGGTCCAGCCTCCTGCTGCTGCAGACCCTCGGAGCATTTTGAAGCATTCGATGGGCATTGTCCTCTAGGTCTGCCCAATCAAGATCCAAAGATTCTTACTAAGAAAAAATGTAAAGTAGCCTCTTCCCCTCCCCCTCCCCAGGCATATGCCGTCTCCATCAGCTTCACCAAGGTAGCAGTGATGAGAGACTCAAGCCGGCGCCGCGGCTCACTAGGCTAATCCTCCGCCTTGCAGCGCCGGCACACCGGGTTCTAGTCCTGGTCGGGGCGCTGGATTCTGTCCCAGTTGCCCCCTCTTCCAGGCCAGCTCTCTGCTGTGGCCAGGGAAGGCAGTGGAGGATGGCCCAAGTCCTTGGGCCCTGCACCCATGGGAGACCAGGAGAAGCACCTGACTCCTGCCATCGGATCAGCGCTGTGCGCCGGCCGTGGCGGCCATTGGAGGGTGAACCAACAGCAAAAGGAAGACCTTTCTCTCTGTCTTTCTCTCTCACTGTCCACTCTGCCTGTCAAAAAAAAAAAAAAAAAAAAAAAGATGCAGCCATTCACAGACCCTCAGGGAAGGGGGCGGGGCCGAGGTGGGTGGGGTTCCCGCCTGCCACGCCCCTTCCTTTTCCTGGAGAAATCTGCAGTGCCCTGTCGCTCCCGCTGCATTTCCAGCAGAGGGCGCTGAAAAGCAGGTGCCCTGGATGGCTGGGGTGGGGGGGTGGGGGGTGGGCAGCGGGTTGTGCAGGGTCCTGCATCCTTCCCAGAAAGGCGAGGGAGGAGGGGGCTGACAGAAGTGCTGGGGGCCGGGGGCGGAGGGCGGGGTCACCCGTGCCTGGGCCCTCTCCTCCCACCCCAGCCCTTGCTGAGTGCAGTGCTCTGAGTCCACTTCCGCCACCTCCTGCCTCACAGGTCCCTTTGCTCATACCTGAGGGGTCTGCTGTATTTTGTTTTATTTTTAATTATTTATTTGAAAAGCAGAGAGACAGAGGGACAGACAGAAGTCTCCCAGTGGGCAGGTTCACTCCCCCAAATGGCGGCAACAACCAGGAGCCAGCAACTCCATCCGAGCCTCCCAGTTGGGTGGCAGGGACCCAATCCCTTGAGCCAGTCCTGCTGCCTCTCAGTGCACACCCCCGGGAAGCTGGATCAGAAGTGGAGACAGACTCAACACAGGCTCCCTGATCCGGCATAGCTGATAAACAGCGTCCTAGCTCCCAATGCCTGCCCCGTCTGTCCACGCCCCTGGTTTCCCCTTCACTAAGTTGGGTCTTTGCTCCAATGCCACCTCTTGGAAGAGCTCATACAAGCTATTTTCAAAATGCTCATGAAAAGGCATATTATTTAAAAAAAAAAAACTGTACCTGGATGTAAAAATTATTTTTGCACCAAAATAAACTGATCGTTCAATTCCATTTTCCCACAAACTTTCTGAGGTATGCTGGGAGCAGCTGAGTTAACATCCACTTGAGGAGCAGTGCTGGCTTTTGGCTTTTGGTCTTGGCTTTTGGTCTGCTGAGCAGTGCGAGTATCTAGAGTCCTAGGGTCAGAGCAGAACTGCTCAGGGAAGAGGGAAGCGAAGAGGACTCTGTTGGCCACGCTCCCTGGTGGCCTCCCCTTGCACCAGACAGCCCCTCCTCCACAGGAGAAATACTGTTTGAAAGGCACTTGCCAGCTTTCTCCTGCAGTGACAAACACCATGGACTGAATGGTTTATAATGGAAGAGGATGGAGTCGGAGATGAAGAGGCCGGCCTCTGGTGAGGGCCCACTGGCTGCTTCATACACGGCAAAGGGGAAAAGAGGGGCCCAATTCCCAGGCGTAGGGACCCCACCTCCCAACACCTCTGCAGTGGGGCCCGTGTTCAGTCCCTGGCAGCTCTCTCGCTCAGATCCTGCCTGTGCCCTGCCCCACAGCAAGCCTCCCTTGTTCCTTGGCCACATCTGCTGATTTTATTCAGCCAGTTGCCTGGCGGGGGTGGCCTGTGACGCACTTGTGAGGCACAAGTGGGAGCCCCGGGGCAGGGTGTACAGGAAAGATAATGAAAGAGGACGGACTTGTTCTGGGGTATCCACTCCCTCCTTCCTGGAACCAGGGCACAATGTCCAGATATTTCCCACCCCGATGCACCCGTTACTGCCCAGGTTCAAGCATCGCATGAGCCTGATAAAAGAGACAGACAGGAGACCCCTGTCAGCACTCAACTGCCTGCCTGCCGATTCCTTGGTGTGTGAGGACAATCACGGCCCCTTAGGCACTGCGTTGGGCGCAGTCCTGACTGTGCGAGCACCAGCTTGTCAGCTGCCAACGGTGCCAACGTGCCGGATTCCTCAAGAGCCCTTGTGCCCAAGCTCAGCCCAATTTGGCACAAATCACTTAACACAGCACCTCAACAGTGGATGGAGACACTCCTAGGAGGCTGAGAACAAATGGATTATGTCTGAACAGACACGCATGCACACGCATAAGCACACAGGTGCCTTAGTTCAGACAACTCTGAGTCATGGGAGCTCCGACAGACTTCCTGCAGAAGAGCAGGGAGTGTGCCCGTGACCTTCCTGGCATTTGATTGGAATGAAGTTGGGGGTGAGGAGGTCTGAATTATGACCTTGACGTCCCCAGCAGTGCCATCGCACAAGTGGCATGTAGAAGGGAAAAGGGTGCACTGTGACCCTGGTCATCCATGTCAGAAGCGGGACTTCTTGTCATCGGTATCCAGGAAGGAAAAGCACACACCTGTCCCAGCTGTGTCGCCGGGAACCACACACTAAAACCCTGCCTCCCAGGATTGGAGACAGGGGTCTGTAAGGAGGCACAGAGGAACAGCCGTGTGGGGTGCAGCAAGAAGACAGCTCCTGGCAGGCTACGGCAGGAGCCGCCACCAGAAGCTGACAGTGCTGGGGCCTTGAGTCCAGCCCCCAGATCTGTGAGCAGCCACACGTCTGTGGTTCAAGCCCCTGGCTGAGGTGTTCTGTCTCAGCAGCCGGAGTGCACTAACGTTTTGAGAGAAGCAGACCTCTCCAGAGAAAGAGCCGAAAGTTCCCAGGAGATGCGCACTATGAAGAAATGATGCATAGATGTGGAAGTTTTGGGTTTTTTTTTTTTTTACAACTTTCTTTTTTTAATTTTTGGGGCCGGCACTGTGGCGTATCACATAAAGCTGCTGGCTGCAGTGCCAGCGCTCCATGTGGGCACCAGTTTGAGTCCGGCTGCACCACCTCCCATCCAGCTCTCTGCTGTGACCTGGGAAAGCAGTAGAAGATGGCCCAAGTGCTTGGGCCCCTGCAGCTACATGGGAGACCTGGAAGAAGACCTGGCTCCTGGTTTCGGATCAGCACAGCTCTAGCCGTTGTGGCCATTTAGGGAGTGAACCAGCAGATCCAGTGGACAGAGGACCTTTCTGTCTCTCCCTCTCTCTGTCTATAACTTTACCTCTCAAATAAATACATAAAATCTTTAAAAAATAAAGCAAAAATCACTCTAGTGCCTCAGACAATGTGAATCTGAAACCACACAGCAAACAGCACTAGACTGGTCTCAGGGAGGTGCTTGGCACATCTGTCCCCTTTGCTGCAGCGACATCCGGCCCCGAGGGCTTTGTCCAGGGACCCTGCTCCTGGGCACTGCCCTGTGGGTGCTTTCCTTGGAGGCAGACATCCAGTGCTTCCCAGTGACAGCGGGCACCTGCCTCTGGTTTGACCACAGTCTCCCCCCTTCCCTTAGTGTGAGTCCTGCACACGCACAAACACAATGCTCACATGCACAGGCACACGGCGTCCTCAGAGGATGTTTGCAGCCTCTTTGAGCTTTTCACCTGTCTTAGGTGGGGAAGAAATGTTGTTGCTCCCCCGAAACCCTGTCCATCTACCTCCCCTCTCCTCCCCTCCCCTCCCCTCCCCTCCCTTCCCCTCTCCTCTCCTCTCCTTCTTCTCCCT